CAGTTTGGTCACTGAATGGAATAATCTTATTTTTGAGCACACACTGCTGCAGGAGACAACCAGGAAGGGGTGGCTGGGTTATTCTGTAACTACAATGCCCAGAAAACATAATTCTTGCTGGGGTTGGGGTTATTTGCAGACTCTTCACAGGAGAGCTGCATGTTCTCTGTCACATCAGATAGCCCACAAGAGTTTTCTGTGATGGATTATCTCTGGCAATGTTTTCCGGAGAGTCCATTTATTGCAAGAAGACCAAAGGTAAAGTCATCCCTGTGCTAATACCTACACCAGTCTTGTCTTCAAAAGTTTAACTCCACAATAAGCATTCTGACAAGCCTTATTCTTGCCTGATCATGTCAGCAGTGGGGAAGTTTCCTTCACCTCTGTGTTCTGGAGGAGCACAGCCCCAGCATGGACCAGGCAGCTCTGTGTGCTGCCCTGGCTCTGGGGAGGAGTGGGGAAAAGAGGCTCTGAAATCCTCAGGGGTTCTTCCTCTTCAAGCAAAACCTGCATCCATGCAATTTCCTGATCCCCAGGGGCTGGTGTTCCATGGGAATCACCATGGAGCAGAAGCAGTTCAGTGCTCTCAGCTGATTTAATAGAAAAGCAGTTGCATGAGAAGAAGGAGACAGAGGTTTAGGGCTGGAGGTGGTGCAGAGACTGACCCTGGGACCCCAGGGGACACAGAGAGGCCCCACCAGACAGCACCTAGCACAATATATCATTTCTGTCACCACTTCTGCCTGATTCAGCAGGGCTCACACTGACACAGATGAGCTGGGCTTAAATTCCAGCGCAAGACATGAAACCAAAACAGCAACGAAATTTCTACAACCAAACTCCTGGGGGAAGGGTTCAGAGCACTGCTGGAGATAAGTACATATTAAAATAAACAATAAATGGCTTATCTCCTTTTTTATGCCCCAGTCACCTCCCCTTGCAGAGCAATCAGGTGCTGGGCACAGCGAGGTGTGGGGCAGGACCCAATCGCGTCCCTCCCGCGGCTCGCAGGTGTCCCCAGCACCAGCACATATTAACTGGGGCTCAGGCTCAGCCCTGACACTTGCCTGATGGGCTGCAGGGGTGAGTAGTGCCTCATCTGTCCCCTCCCTGGGAAATGGGGACCCTTAGTGCTGTGGGGAGATCTGGAATTTGGCCTGCCCTACTGCCCGTGCTGATTCTCACCTGGGGGCTGGCTGCGTCCTCAGTAAGTCCTGAATGAATCAGGCAAGCAGAGAGGGTTTGGCTTCACACTATGAGGTCAGTGGGGTGGTGGAGAGGGTCTACTGGAGAGATTGTACAACTCCATCCATGAAGGTTCTCAAGGTCTGAGGAGGGCAAAGCCTTGAGCAGCCTGGGCTGAATTTAGAATGCCCCAGCTTTGAGCCAGAGGCTGGACTGGGACCTCCAGGGGTCCCTGCCAGCCTGGCTCACTCCATCATTCTGCTAAACTGATGCTGCATTTGTCTTGTCAATGGCAGCAATGCTATTTCTTCAGAATAAGGCAAGAAAAAGGCATTTTGGTTCTAATGGAGTGAGCTTGCATTGCTTTCTGCCCTGCTGAGTTCCTCTAAGCTTTCCCTCACTTTATTTAATGAGCATCTTGATTTTCTCCCCCTTGAAGTTATCAGAGCAGCCTGATAACCTGATAACTGCAATCTCCTATCGGCAGAGTGCTCTGTAAACGTTAGCCTGTGCTCCTTGTCATATATTTTCATTAAGTGGCAGCAGCTGGGTGTTATCATTCCTGGTCTCTTGGCCTGCTTCCCAGCTCCAGTGGAGATTTCCATTTATCCTTTGCCCAGCCTTGTGCCCTCTCAAGACTCTCCATTCAGCAGCGAGTAACGGGGCTGTGGCAGGACGCAGCAGTGGCTCAGGTGCATTTGGTGGCTGACCAGATCACACCTGAGCCTTCAGCCAGGGATTGGGACGAGTTTTGGGACACAGGTAAGAGTTTTGGTCATCAGAGAGGTCGTATCTTCACTTTGTGATCTAAAGCTGCACTGGAGGCAGTGGGGGGAGATGTTTGCACTGGATGTTGCTCCTCTCAGCCATCCCTGGCTGCAGTCCATGGCTGTCCTTTCTCCTCCCACCCCACCCAGCCTGTGCTGATGGATGTCACTGAGGCTGGCAGCAAGGGACCAACTCAACCAGTGCTGTGTCAAGGCCTCTAAAATTCCTGGATTCTCCCCATCCTTTGGTGCCATTTCAGGCCATCTGCTGTCTCGTTTTGGGGGTTCTACACTTCAGGCAGTTTTCAAAGTTACCTTCAGAGCCACTGTGGGGTTTTTGACTGCTATTAATGTAAATATGAATCCAGGCTCTGAGCACAGAAATGCAGTGATTTGAGAGTGTTTTGTAATGGAAGGAGAGCATTCATGCCATTCCTGCAGCACCAGGAATTGCCCAGCCCTTGAGGAGACACAGGAGGCATTCTCCAGCAGAGAGGGGTGTAGATGGTGACAAGTTAAAGGCCAGCCCTGGCTTCTTTGTTCCCTGGGTGTCTAGAAAATGTGTCTGCATTCACTTTGGGTGAGAGAACAAATGAAAACCCCATTCTTGACTTATTTTTGTATCAGATGTCAGGGAAACCGAACACAGTGAGGAGAATGCAACCTCATTTTAGAAGGTGGGAGCCAGCAATGCTCTTCCTTCCATGAAGCCCTCCTGATCCAGGGCTGGAGGGGAGAGGGGGCTGGTGTGGTGAGGCCCTGCAGCCCCAATAATTTCACCCTCCTGCCTTGTCCCTTTGCACCCCACAATGATTATGGTAGAGATGGGCATCACCAGGAAAAGGGAGGGGAAAAAAATACACTCATAAATGTTTTGCCGGCTGTTGATTTTTTATCTTTTTTTTGGAGGGGGTTAGGGTTGGGATTGGAAGTGCTTGAGAAGGAATTTTATGTTTGGATTTAGATGCTTATTATTTTTTACTTATATTATAATCTTATAATCCGTGAGCTCTATAGTATTTCACTAACAACTTACAAAATGGTTCTGTATCTATCTCTACAAGGTCTTCTAAGGAAAAACTATCTAATTAAGAAATGACACTTAAATTATTTTTACTTTTAATCTAATAACTAATTACTTATGTCTTGCAAAGCAGACTTTTTTGTCTAATTACAAAATATTACTTAAAGTTATGAAGAAGAAGGTGAAGAAGAAGGATTAGCTACTGCTCTAAAACTTCTAGCTCTAAAAAACCATCTTCTATAGTTTTATATATATTATAAAACTTTATATTCTAAAACTATATTCTATAAACTATATTCTATAAACTCTATATTCTAAGACTTTAAACTCCAAGTTTTCTACTATGTGATATCACACACTTTTATTCAAACTACACACTCATAATCTTAATGCTATTATTCATTTTTGGAAGTTTTCTCTACAGCTTCAGGTTAAATGTAGTGTTCTCTTGAGACCCTGTGTCTTTCAACACAAAAAATCTAAAATTCTCAATATCTGGAATCCTAGCAGCCAGCATTTTGGGTGGTACCTGGTGAGCTCAGTTGTGAAAGCCTGCTGACCACCTCTGATACACTGTGGATTATCTCTTCTTTACCCACAGGTGACTTTTGCTCCTTCCCAGCTAATTAGATAAGTAAACACAGATTTGCTTTGGGAGATATACTCAAGGCCAGCATAAATCCTGGCTTGCAAGGAAATGAACCATTTTTTCCCCTTTAATCCCTCTCCATGAGCAGCAGTGGTGGGGACGAGCACTGGGAGGCAAAGTTTGCTGGGAGAGCTTTTGTTGGCTGCAGGATTTGGCATTTTGGGGTGACTGCCCTGACCCTCATGGTCTCCTGCTGCTTTCTGAGGCTGGGGGTGCTGTCTCTGGAGAAGAAAAGGTGCCTGAGGGTCTGGTGTGGGGCTGGACCAGAGTTCTCTGTCTGCTTTAGCTGTGGGGCCAGGTTGCAACAGGAATTGTTGACCTCCGATTTCAGAGATGCTGTGGGGCCTCTGGATCAGGACACAGCCACTCACCACAGGCTGTTCCACCCCTCTGGTGTTGCTGGACTAACAGTGTGGGGTGTGTTTCTGTGTTCTAGGAACAGCCCAGCCCTCAGGGACCAAACCCAGCCCCATCCAGCGTGGAAACCACCAGGGAATCACAGCACAGACCTCAGGCTGTCCTGCCAGGCTGCTGCAGAGAAACTCCCACCAGGAGGGTGAAAGGAGCAGGCAAGCAGGAGGAGGATGGCAGAAATGGTAATTAAGGCTGCCCACGGGCTCATATGTCAAACCACAAAGAATTCAGATAATCAGGACTCAGCCACAGCAGCGTGCTGGCCACAGTGTGAAATAGGTGTGTCTGTGAGCCAGGTCTCATAAGCTCTTAAAGATATATTTCACACCTAAGATAGCTCAGCTACCTTAGAAGGCATAAAATTAGCAGAATAGCTTTTGTGGCAGTGTTAGAAACAAAAAGGTTTTAATGAAAGGCAAAATAACAAACTCTTTACAGAGAAAAACCAATCTTGTTGTGCAAGATGCCCTCCTGCCACTGGTAAAACACCTCACAAAAGCCATTGATTTATCTGTTCTCTTCTTTTTCTAGTAAATTGCCCAAGCAGGACTTTTTGGCTCCTGCCCAATTAGCTATCCTTCAATTTGAGGTGAAGCCCTATGAAGTACCTTTTCACCTAATTGAGGAGAGAAACTTCTGGGCTTATTTCCTTTTAAAGGAGATAGTTTTGTCACTCCACCAACAAAGAGCACAATTCTGTAACTGTGAGCCACAGTTACTGGCAGGGAGCCCAGGGGCTGAGGGGGGACAGAGCTGTGGCTTTGTGGCCTGGAGGGGGAGATGAAGCTCCCCAAATAAACTGGATTTCCCATGGCCCCTCCACGTGGCAGCAGTTGTGGCCCTGCTGCAGGCAGTTCTCTGTGTTTAGAAATGAGATGTTTCTTCTTTGAGTCACTGGTTTGGTTCTGTCAGATGGCAAAATGATGTCCCTGTTCTCAGTCTGAAGTTAAATGCAGAAGGAATGTCCAGCATCATGTCTTTGATCATTTCTGCTGCAGCAAAGGTAAGGAAAGGGTCAGACTTGCTCTAATTGCAGAATGCACCACCACAGAGGTGTAGGGACACAGGGCAGGCTAAGCAGCCTAACAGCAGCTCTCATCCTCAGTCTAAGTGAGACACAAGCCTCCATCCATGACCCTGTGGAGTTTCAAGGTCCCTTTATTCACTAATGGTTGAATCAAGGTGAATTCATTCTGTGAACAAGCCAGAAAAGGAACTTACAGATACCAAAACTCATGTGGTTTTTCTCCATGTGGTTTGTTTCCTTAGCACAGATGGGTGGTGGATGGATTGCAGAGAGGATCAGAGCAGAGAGGTCACACCAAACCTGCCTGTAACTCTTTTCTGGGTTTATTTGTTTCTGCTATTGTTCAGTGGGAGATGCTGAAAATAAACTTTAAGCCCAGACTCCTCCTTTTGTCTATATATGCACCAGCAACACAGAGAGAACAGCACAGCAAATTGCCTTCCTGCAGAGCACTGATACCATCAGGGCTTGTGTGCTTAAAATCTGCTACCAAACTCAACCTTCTCTAACTTGTTTAACCCTTTTCTCATTCCATTTTTTATCTGCTCTGCCTCCATAGCTGCTCCTGATAATTCCATTCTGCCTTAGTATTTATTGCTCATTATTTGCTGTGCCTTCTCCAGCTCCCCCAGGATTTAGAGCCTGCTCTCAGCACCAGCCTCTTGTCTCATTTCCAGCCTGATGAATCCTCCTCTCTTTAAGCTGCTTTACTGTGGGGGATGCTCAGTACCCCAAGCACCTTTGCTGCCCTTTGCTATTTTATTTTCATTGGTTCTTTTTTCTCAATTTTAATACACTTGGATGCCAGAGCAGAGGTGACCTCTAAGTGCCACCATCACCATAAAAGCATTCTCCAATTATTGCTGGATGGATTTACCTGCAGGTTCTTCACTGCTACGGTGAAAAAAGCTGTTCTTGACAAAATAATTAAATTAGGAGCATAAAATTTCCTAGTGGAGGTGATGGTTTTGAGATGGGGAAGAAGATGTACTGAAGAAGATGCTCAGATTATGTATGGGATCTAACACACCACTCCAAAAGAGCAATTTTGTCATGGAATCATGGAGTCATGCAATTGCTAAGGTTGGGAAATACTGTTATGATCATCAGGTCCAGCCATGAACCCACACCACCACATTCACCATGAGTCTGTGTCCTCAAGTGCCACCTCCACAGGAGTTTTGAACACTTCCAGGGATGGTGCCTCCACCACTTCACTGTGAATTCCATTCAAATGCTTTACAACCTTTTAATGAAATTTTTTTCCTAATGTATATTCTCATTTTTTTTCAAATGTATAATTTCCCCTGGGGCAACTTGAGTCCATTTCCTCTTGCTCCCTGGGAGAAGGGACTGACACTCACCTCACTACAACATCCTTTCATCTGTTCATCTCCTTCCACCCCTACAATCTCCTTACCCACCTAGATCCATGTGGTTGCAGTGCCAGCAGGATGCTCCAAGCCACCCTCCCTTCACACCCAAATGCCATTTTTTTCCTCTTCTGCAGCTATTTTTCTCCCAGCTGTCTATGTGACTGTGGTCACCAATTGTTGTGTGTGTTTTGAGGGTCCCCAGGACAAGGTGAGAGATGAGAATTGACTCCAAGTTCTCAGAAGGCTGATATTATATTATATTATATTATATTATATTATATTATATTATATTATATTATATTATATTATATTATATTATATTATATTATATTATATTATATTATATTATATTATCGTATATCGTATCATATATAATATCATATATCATATATCATATTATAAGAAAATTATGTACTAAAACTATACTAAAGAAAGAGAAAAGAGACACACAGAAGGCTGGAAAAGAATGAATAATAAAAACTCATGAATGAATAATAAAAGACTCAGAGAGCCCAACACAGCTGGCTGTGATTGGCCATTAATTAAAAACAATTCACATGCTGGGTAAACAATTCTCCAAATCACATTCCAAAGTAGCAAAACATGGAGAAGCTGAAGCTTCCCAGCTTCCCAGGAGAAGAAATCCTGGCAAGGGGATTTTTCAGAAAATGTGACAGTGACACGTGGCCTCTGTTTCCACCCCACAGGAGCTGAGTAAGAAGTGCCCCCTGGTGAATGGCAGGGGTGCCAGTGGTCAGGACAGCACCTGGATCCTTCCCAACTTGCCCAGCAAGTGCACATGGACAGCCACAACTCCTGCCAGCAAGTCTCCACACTCCTGTGTTCCCTTGTAAGTAATTCCTCTGTGCTGATTTCTTCAGGTGCTGCAGCTCAGCACCTTTTCCTGGAGGTTGTTGTTACACCAGGATGGTCATGGCCAGAAGCCAGCTGTTGTGTTAATGATGGTTTATATTCCAAATGGCAAAAGCAGCTTTTCTCTTTTGCCATCTCCAAGAAGACTTTTTTCACTCCCTTTTATTTTTGCAGAAGGATGTGGCTGGCTCTAGCCTCAGGCTCTGTGTTTTCCAGGGCATCTCCTCGTTTGGGGCATTTTATTTTAGATGGCTGAGAGGCCTTCACAAAAATGGATTACCAGGGCCTGGGCTTTTATATCAGCAGCAAATGGCCCCAGTGCAGAGAAAAGTGCTTGCTCTGAGCTGTTCCTGCCCTCACAGCAGCAGGTTCCCTCCCAGGGTGACGTGAGGGCCCAGACTAGTCCTGACAAGAGGTGCTTTAATGACCCTGCAAACCAGACCCAGACAAGCTACTAAAGATAAGGCTGTCCCATAAATGTCAGAGGAACTGCAGACACGTCCTGCAGTGCAGAGATGTGAAACAGGGATCCAGCTCCAGTGACTGGAGTAAAACTCCTGGAATGCAGCCCCAGGGAGTGGAGGCCATGGGAGGTGCAGCACTGCTCTGCATGCTCATGCCTGACCATGTGCCAGGCAGGACAAGGCCAGGGCACAGCCACCAGCATGTGGGTAGCCCAGAGCAGCCTCTGGGTCTGGCCAGTGCAGGAGGAAGGAATGGATGGAATGCAGAGCCCTTGAGCTGATCCAGCAAGCTGTGCATGGCTCAGTGCAACCCCTGCAGCTGGTGCCTGAGGAGAGAATCAGCTCTTTTCAGTCAAAATTAATTTTTTTTCCCCCCTCAATTATCATTCTGAGCAGGATAAAATTATATTTTTTTTAACAATTGAGCATCAGGGTGCCGTGGTGGTGCCAGTGGCTGGGCCCATCCCACCCCCAGATGGGAGATGGAGAGACATTTCCCAAACACTGCTCTGGGAATGGAGTCTGGCTGTGGGGGCCCACACAGCCCTGCTGGGGCAGGAGCTGAACCATAACCCACTGTGCAGCAGGGAAAAAACACACTGGGACCCATCACAGCTCTGCAGCAGGGCATGGAGAGAGAGGTGCTTTGGTTTCCCTGCTCTGGGTAAGCCACAGATGGAGCAAAAATCTCTGGACTTCCTGAGATTCCCAGGTGAAATCTGATTGAGTTCTGAGGGTAGAAGCAGAGGGAGGAAACAGGTTGTCATTTAATTAAGAACATAAAATATTTAAATTGTTTTGAGAGATACAGAGGTAGACTAGTTCTGCCACCCCTCGAGCTGGTTCTGACCCAGCATAACCTCAGCAGGAATCCTTTGCTTTGCCAGGACTGGTTTTCCCCTGGACATCTCAAGGAATAGCAGGCCATGACTAAAAGCTGGAATCTTAGGGGAAAACCATCCTTGTCTGCTGTCCTGAGCTGACATCAGCACCTGCAGGATGCAATCCAGATGTGCAATGCAGTAACTCAGGTCACCCTCAAGAGAGCCAGGCTCAGTTAAACCTCACCTGAAGGAGCCAAGGCTCAGCCCCACTGAAATAAATCCCTGAACATTTCAAAAGTGGCTTTTGGAGCAGCTGTGGGGGAAGCTCATTTATTGTGGTATTGCCTCACATTTGGCAGCACTCAGTGGAGCCTGAGATATCAGTGGGAGAGGTAACAGCACATCCCATCATTTCTGGGCTAGGGATGCAGGGAGCCTGGAACCTCTTGGTAGGAAAGACCTTCACTAAACCCCTGCACTCCTGCAGGGCGGGAGGTGTTTATATCACACCTACAGAATCCAAGGTTTTGTCTCACTGTGCTGTGTTGGAAATTGGGTGAGGAGAGGAGGAATGTTTTGGAACATTCTGAGTTGTGCGTGTGTTCCTTTTTACATATAGCTGTAGGTTAATAAAGTTTTTATTCTTTATTTCTAAGCTTGAGCCTGCTTTGCTCTATTTCTGGTCACATCTCACAGCAGCCACTGGGGAGAATATATTTTCATGGGGGCACTGGCATTGCACCAGCATCAAGCCATGACAGCTTATGACCAGGATGTGGCCCAAAGAAACACAGCCCTCATCAATCTGTGAGAGAGCTCAGGGCTGTGAGCTCCCTGGCAAGGTGTCTTGGGCAATCAGGTGTTTTTCAGGCTGCTGTTGCTGTGGTTTTTGGCTTCTGCTGGAGCAAATCTGGGCAGCTGGATTTCACTGATGACAGAGCTGGGTTCAACTGTTTGCAAAACACCCCTCAGAACCCTCTGAGGTTTGGGCTTCTCTGATGGCTTGGAGCCATCCTTGCAAGTTTGGCAGTCCTGGGCAGCAACACCTGGCCCAGAGGCAGCTGGAAATGTGGGGAGCAGAGATGGGGCTGGGCAGGATGGGGAGAAGAGGAGGATCCTTGTGCTGTGTCTCCTGGTTTTCTCACCCACAGCATAACATCCTAAGGCTTGCCAGCATCTTCTCACTCATTACAGATCTGGCCTAGGGTTTTGCAGAGCAAGGCATTTCACAACAACCTTGAAAATTAATTAACTTTTTATGTAAAAAAAACCCCTAATAATTCATCATGGAGAACTGTAACTAACTCCTGGTGCCACTAATTGTCGACGGGGACTTTTTCTCTTGGAGCTGGGCTGTGTTTTGGTGGCCTTGATAAAGTTGTTGAAACCTCACTCAGATTTTCTCTTGGTTCATGTTGCACAACAATAGTTTTGATTTGATTTTTTGTTTGTTTGTTTTTCCCTGCATTATTTCAGGACAGAAGAAAAGAAGATCTTGCCCAATATCCTCAAGAAAATTGGCTGCACCCCAATGGTCCAAATCAACAAGATTGGGAAGTCCTATGGGCTCAAGTGTGAGCTCTGTGAGTGTCCCCTTCCCAGCAGGTTTTTGCATGCCATGAGGTGAGGGTGAGGGGTGCTGGAGGGGGGCTTCAGAAGAGGCTCTGTGAGAAGAACAGAGACAGGCAGGGGCAGATGTGGCTCCTGTTGGGCTCTCCTGCTTATTAGGCAGTAATTTTTTGTGCCAAACAGGAGGTTTCAAGCAGCAATGAGCAGGGGGGCAATGGTAGTGAGGCATCTCTCCTGCCAGATAACAGCAGCATAAGCTCAGAGCAGAGCTGGCCCAAATTTAGGGGTGGATCTAAGTCCTCTCCCTAAGGAGATGTTTGCTGGTGCTGTCTCATGTAAGGCTTGGCTTTAGGCTGGTCCCCTACAGTCACAAGGGTGATAAATTCAGATCTGTGCATGTGGACTTTTCAGTCTCCTTTCCTGTAACTCCTAACCCTGATAATTAATTTGATCCAAATTGGGCAGAAAGGCAAATTCTGAGAGGCAGAAAGTGCCAAAAGTGTCACACAGCTGAGTAAGGAGGGACTTGCTGAGCACTCATGGCACAGCAGAGCCCTGCAGTGCTGCGTGGCACCTGGGAACCACAGAGTTATTTATGAAATAACTATGATTAAATTAAATAACTATAAATATCTATAAGGGCAGCCAGACCCCACCTGATCCTTTCTCAGCATCTGGGATCCTTGGGCCACCAGCCCTGCAACCTCCACACTGAAAAACCGAGGATGGTGTTCCCCTGAGATTCCAGCTTTTAGTCATGGCTCGCTATTCCACACTGCACTGCCTCACCCTGCCCACAACGAGAGCTGAGGGGACACCAGGACACCATGGAGGTGGGAGGACAGATGTGCAGTGCCTGGTGCACCTCTGGAGTGTGTCTGGCTGGTGCTTGAGGTGCTGGGAAAGCCAGGCAGATCCCATTTTCTGGGATGGTGTCTCCCTCCCCTGGCACAGGAGGGGAAGCAGAGCAGAGCAGGCAGAGCAGCTCCACAGTCCTGTCTGTGCCAGCACAGAGCCCCTTCCCAGCAAACACAGGAATGAAAGGAAGCAGCTACAGCTGGATGGGATTGCCTGGTGTTCTCTGTGCCCCCAGGGACCCTCGTGCAGCTGGAGTTGTGGCACTTTGCATTATGAAATGTAACAATGAGCACAAGATTTCCTTTTCCTGTTCAGGCTGCTCAGGTACAGGGCTGATTTCTCAGCCTCAGGTCGCTGTGTCTGCCAGGGTGAAGGGAAAAACACCCCTGGAAATCCCAATTTTTCCCTGTTGTCCATAAAACAGAGCTCAGTAGCTCCAGTTCAGCTGCAGATGTTCATCAAAGCCTTGGTGAGAAGAATGCTGTGGTGTGGAGGCACCAGTGAGGACTGAGATGTGCTTTGCATTGCAATCTGAACATGCCTTGGAAACTTACTTGGTTTGTTGCTAGCTCAGTGAAAGAAACTCTCATTTGGCCTGACATTTGAAAATGTTCTTTCTGTTTGGGACTTTTTATGGCACCTCAGTCAGGACTACAGATCACTGCAAAAGGGGAGCTTTTTTAGATATCTGTTAAAAACCTCAATGCCCCAGGATGGACAGTGAGGCCTTGCTGCTAACCCTTGCCCACAGAAGAGTCCTTAAGGGGTGTTGTGCGAGTGTGGGACCTCCCACCATGCAGTGACCATGCCCAGCTGATTTTAAACGCATCCTGGGCTGTCCAGGTTGGCTTCAAACCCATCCAGGGTGGAGGAAACATGGTGGAAAGAAGGACTCTGTGCTGATGGATAATCCCAGAAGAGCAGGTGGTGGATGCAAAGGGCATCCTGCATCCACCATCTCCTTTCCCCTGAGCAAAGGAAAGTCCTGCAGAGGAGGAAGAGGTGTCCTACCACTGCAGTGAGGCCTGGGGGAGCTGGGGCCTGATGGAGTGTCCCCTTTTTTTCCCTTTCCAGTGGCAAAATGTGAGTACTTCAATGCTGGGGGCAGTGTGAAGGACCGCATCAGCCTCAGGATGGTGGAGGATGCAGAGAGAGCTGGGATTATCAAACCAGGGGACACTCTGATTGAACCCACTTCAGGAAACACAGGTGGGAAGGGCAGGGATGCTCCCTCTGCCTGGGAACTGGGCAGGGGGCAATTTCTGAGGAGCAGGGATTTGCATTTGGGGTTACAAGGTTGGGCTCTGGCTCCATCCTCCCCTCAGCTCCCCTCCTGGTGGCCACGGGCTTCCTGGGATGCTGAGGTGCTTCCTTGCTGAAATTCCTGAGGGTCCTGTGAGGGTCCCACACCTGCACAGGCGTGCCTGGAAGGTCTCCTTGTATCAAGGCAGACAGCATCAGGAGCTGGGGCAACCCTGGGTGTTTTCAGGCTGGGAAGCTTTTGAATTCTCAGAGGTTCCCAGACACCATTCCCCTGAGGGGTTGGAACAGAATTCCTGTGATTTTTGGCCTTGTTGGTGTCACTTGTCACCCCACCACACTGTGTCACCCCAGGGGGGTCTGTGGTCCCCCAGAGCTGTGTCCCACATGGGTCACACTGGCTCCCTGCCTGCCTGGGGCAGCTGGAATGGCACCAGGCTCCCTGCAGCCCCTGGCAGGGACAGGCTGCTCCTTCCTGCTGCCTCACCTTCCTGCTCTAGCTGGGAGCAGCTGGCTCCATCCATCACCCCAGTGAGACTGGAGCAGAGGTGCCATGGAGTGATGTGCAGAGTCCTGTCTGTCTGTCCCCCACAACTGAGGGGGAGGGGAAGGCACTCCTGAAGCAAAACCACCTCTCTCCTGTGTAACCAAACCCACAGAAAGGTGGCTGAGCCTCGGTGGGGGGAAAAAGGCTCTCCCCATTCTCTCAGTGAGAATGAGGAGCTCCTGGGAGCAGGAGTGATGCTGCAGCTCCACTTGCCTGTCAGCCCATCCTCCCACCCTCCCTGGTGCTCCCAGCACATCCCAGGGGGCTCGTGGAGGATGCTCTCACCTGTGGCTGGTCAGTGACCCCTCCATGGCTCCACCCAGGAGAGAGGAGCGTGGGCAGGGTGGCTCTTGCCAAATTGCCAAATTCTGGTGATGCCAACCACTTCCCTGTGCTCCCCACCCCACAGGGATTGGGCTGGCACTGGTGGCTGCACTCAAGGGTTACCGCTGCATCATCGTCCTGCCAGAGAAAATGAGCATGGAGAAGGTCAGAGCTCTCTATGGTTTTACCCCACAGCCAGGGAACTAACTTCCTTCCTTCCTTCCTTCCTTCCTTCCTTCCTTCCTTCCTTCCTTCCTTCCTTCCTTCCTTCCTTCCTTCCTTCCTTCCTTCCTTCCTTCCTTCCTTCCTTCCTTCCTTCCTTCCTTCCTTCCTTCCTTCCTTCCTTCCTTCCTTCCTTCCTTCCTTCCTTCCTTCCTTCCTTCCTTCCTTCCTTCCTTCCTTCCTTCCTTCCTTCCTTCCTTCCTTCCTTCCTTCCTTCCTTCCTTCCTCCCTCCCTCCCTCCCTCCCTCCCTCCCTGCAGCCCTTTAAAAGCCAACCACACACTGCCACAGCTGCTATTCAGAACTTTGCCTCTTGAGGGGAAAAAAGCAGCCTGTGGTGGCCTGGTGGCTGCCTGGTGTCAGAAGTGCAGCTGGGATGGTGAGATAGCCAAACACAGTGAGTAGGTGCAGGGGACAGAGCAGGCTCTGCTGCATGTGAAGCACAGCAGGAGAGGCAGGCAGGGCTACCCTGCCAGTCCTGCTCACTGCCCCTCTGACATCTGACAGGTCCCTTGGCCTCTCTGTGTGTTTATGGTTTTCTTTCACCTGGGGACACTCAGAGTTGCCTGAGCTGTTTCTCAGGGTGGTGTCTCAAGTCACTTGCACGAGAGCTGATGGTCAGGTGAGCAGAGCATCCTGGAGATGGCAGAAATCCCTCACTGGTGAGCCAAGAGCCTCACAGACAGCTCAGCTGAACTCCTGCCAGTGCAGCCAGACATGCACCCTGACCTGGCTCAGGACTGAGCCCTTCTCCAAAGTGTCACCCTCAATTCAACCCAAATCTCACCCAAGCTCGGTCTGGGTCAGATGCCACCTCCAGCTGCCATGGCTTCATCTCCAGGTGTCCCAACACTCCCCTGTCCCACTGACAGCCCCATCTTCCAGAGGAGACACCCAGGGCTGATTGCTCCTTCCCTAATTTTGGTGAAAGAAGAGAAGGGACTTTGGGCAAAACCAGCTTCTTTATCTCCCCTTTGCATGCTGGGGCTCCAGTCCCAGCACACAGGAGACCCTGTTCCCTGTCCAGCTCCCTCTGCCCTTTTCCTCTGGCCCCCAGGAGCAGCACACTGTCACCTCCCTCCACCCTGTCCCCATCCTGCCCTCCAAGTAGGACAGGGCACGAAGCCAGGCTCAAATCCCTGTGCCAGCTTCAGGCAGGAGGCCCTGAGCTGCTGGAGCTTGTCAGAGACAGCAGAGTCCAGAATTGGACATTGTATCTCCACATGATAAATGCCTCCCACATGCAAAGCTGCTCTGGCATCTGGCACTGCCCTGAGCCTGCAGGGTCAGGTTACCCCCCCTGAGTGGGATCAGCTGTGTGCAGCTCCTCTTTGCCCTCCCAAAGGTTGATATCCTGAAGGCCCTGGGTGCTGAAATCGTGAGGACGCCGTGCACTCGCTTTGATGCCCCCGAGTCCAACGTCCGCGTGGCCTGGAAGCTGAAGAGTCAAATCCCAAACTCTCACATCCTGGACCAGGTAAAGGCCATCCCTCCACTGGTTCCCTTTCCCAAGAGGGTTTATAGGGTGCTCTCCAAGTGTGCCCGTGTTTGGGGGCTCTATTTGGACTGGCAGATTTCGTCAGTGTTTTATGGCATTTGAAATTTAATCGCCCCTCTGCAAAGCTCAGGGGGACAGAATAAGGGGCACTTCCAAACCTGCAACACTTCTGCCAAAGCCTGGATGTGGGTGAGGCTGGGTTTTCTTGCACAATTCAAAGACTCCTCAAATTGCTTCAGATTTAACTTTGACCTGAAAAAAACTCCCACTTTTTAAGCCTGGCTAGCAGCCTCAAAAATAAACCTCATGCTGTAAAGGGCAAACCCTGGTGACTCATGGCAGAGGTTCCTGCAGGGAACTTGGTCCACGTGGGACCAAGGAGGGCACTTGGTCTGACCCCTGAGTGAGGAGCCCCTGGAGTGCAGGAAAATCAGGCATGCTCCTTCCTTCTGAGAAAAAAGTAGCTCAAAGACTGGATGAGCTTTTCAGCTCATTTTTTTGGTCCATGGGTGTGAACGTGGGGTGCACAAATATCAGTGCTGCAAAATCCCTCTGTGCACGAGAGCTGATTGATGATCAGTACAGCTTCTCCAGCCTCTGAACCATCCCCACACCTAAGGGGCACCAAGTGCTGGACAGTGAGTGTTTGTGGGCACCCTTAACCTCCCAAGTGGGTTTGGAAGTCTGTGCCAAAGTGAAAACAGGAGGAACACCAGTGACCTGTCCTGGTGGGGTGGGTTTCCCCTGGGCAGGGAGAGCAGGGGGCAGCTGCATGCTTTGGGTACAGCTCTGTCAGGAGCTGTTGCTGGTTTGGTATTTGACCTGCTCTTCACAAGGTAATCCCTGCTGTTCTCTGCTGGAATAAACAGTACAGAAACCCCAGCAACCCCCTGGCCCACTACGACACCACGGCCGAGGAGATCCTGGAGCAGTGTGAAGGTACTGTCTGTGCACAGGGCTGCAACCCTCTCTGAGAGGCTTCATTTACATCATTTATTGACCTCAATGCCTAGAAACAGCCCAAAGGGCCTCTGGAGGGGCAGGCAGTATTATCTTAATAACACTGACACACAGAGTGTAGCAACCTCTCCTAATCCACCCCAGATCCACCTCAGCCTGCAGGGCTTCACGGCTCTCTCCTCCCATTGCAAAACCTGGGGGAGGACACCAGAGGCTTAAGGAGCTCAAATTGTACCTAAAGGAGACAGAACATGCCTCATGGTGGCCACAGTGACCTGCCAGCTGGGAGCACAAGAGGTCCCACAAGGCCTTGGAGGGGAATATAAATCCTCCAGGGCATGGCAAGGTTGGTCTGATCCAGCATTCTCATCTGCAAATCAAAACAGACTGAAACCTCCCATACCAGTGCCATTGGAAGTGAGGGCTGGGAGAGGACAAAGGGCTGTCCCAGTCCATGTTTGTGCAGATAGAAGTGACATTTATTGCCAGTTCTGGGAGCACTGTAAAGCATGACCAGGACTTGAAGGATTTTAACTGGAGAGCTGTTATCAGAGCTGTAAAGCAGTCAGGTATCAATGGGAACAAGAGAGTCCCAGCCTTGCCCCCACCACAGTGTCAGGGTTTGCTCCAGCTGGCTGCCAGCTGTGGGTTGCAGGTTCCAGTGCAGCTGCAGCACCAGGTTTTGAAGGCCAGACTCCAATTCTGCTCCTTCCAGCCCTAAATCTGTAAAATGTCAGCCATGCCAGTGGGGCAGCATCTGACAGAGGCGGGTGCCAGGGCAGAGCTCAGCCTTGCCTCCACTGTGGATGCCAGCACAGGCTGGAAGGTTGTGCCTGTTAGTGATATTAATGTGTGTGGCTTGCTTTGATATGCTGTGGTTTGAAGGGGTGGATGTGCTGAGATATTCCCTCCCCTTTAAGCCACAGAATCACAGAATATCCTGAGTTGGAGAGGATTATCAAAGTCCATCTTGGGGTCCTGTACACCTAAAAAGTCACACCATGTGCCTGAGAGCATTGTCCAAACACTCCCTGAGCTCTGCCAGGCTGGTGCTGTGACCACTGCCCTGGGGAGCCTGCTCAGTGCCCAGCCACCCTCTGGGGGAAGAACCTTTCCCTAATATCCAACCTAAACCTCCCCTGACATATCTTCATGCTGTTCCCTCTGCTTAGTAGATGCCAAAGATGCAGAAATCATGGAGAGCTGCAGTGAGGGATCTGGAGGTCACCTTCAGCTCCCTGCAGTGAGGCAGGATCAGCTGTGCTCAGGTCCTGCAAGCTCATCTGAGCTTCTGCACAGGACCAGGCTGTGGCCACCAGCATGGCCTCTGCCTGAGCTCTGCTCACAGGGGTTCTGGGGGACACAGGGCTCTGAATAAAGGGGAGATCCTGCTGTGCTGAGCTCCTTGGAAACCTCTCTGCCCCCTGGTCTGCAGGCAAGGTGCACATGGTGGTGATTGGGTCTGGCACAGGAGGAACCATCACTGGTGTGGCCAGGAAGCTGAAGGAGAAGTGCCCAGAGTGCAAGGTAAGGCTGGAGGCAGGACTGCTGTGGTTTTCATGGAATCACAGAGTGGTTTGGGTTGGAAGGGACATTGGGGATTGTCCCATTCCACCCATTATCCTGCCATCAGCAGGGACACCTTCCACCAGACAGGTTGCTCAGAGCTGGCCTTGGACAATTCCAGGGATGGGGCACCCACAACTTCTCTGGGCAACCCGTGCCAGGGCCTCACCACCCTCACAATGAGAGATTTCTTCCTATTATCCAATACAAATCTACCCTCTTTCAGCTCAAAGCCCTTCCCCCTTGTCCTGTCCCTCCATGTCATTTCCTACCTAACCCCATAGCTCACCTGAGGCAGAAGTTGCTGTCTGCACCTAAAGCTGTGTTGAGGGACGTGTGGTGTTGTGGGGTTCTCAGGATGAGGTGAGAGATGAGAATTTGACTCTATGTTCTTAGAAGGCTGATATTATTATATTATATTATATATACTATCTATGATATTATATATTATACTCTGTATATTATATATAGTATATATATTATATATATTATATATACTATATATAATATATATACACTATATATATTATATATAGTATATATATAATATATACTATATATAGTTTATTATATATACTATATTATATATTATACTATTATACACTATTATATTCTATTATATAATATACTATTATATTATATACTATTATATTCTTATATACTATTATATACTATACTATACTATACTATTATATTATATTACTATACTAAAGAAAGAGAAAGGATACATCAGAAGGCTTAACAAGAATGAATAATAAAAACTCATGACTGACTCCTCAGAGCCCAACACAGCTCATGGTGATTGGTCATTAATTAAAAACAATTCACATGGAACCAATCAAAGATGCACCTGTTGGTAAATGATTTCTAGACTACCTTCCTAAGCAATCAGATAATTATTGCTTTCATTCTTTTTTGAGGCCTCTCTGCTTCCCAGATGAAGATCCTAAACAAAGAGGATTTTTCAGAAAATATCATAGTGACAGGGAGGCACCTCAACCCAGATACAAAGCTGTAAATATCCAGGGAAAATCACCAGAAATCCACATCAGCCAGCACAGCTAGGTCCAGAAAGGATGTGTGTATCTGCAGGTTGGAGCTCACTGCTGGCTTCACCTAGAGCAGATTAAGGAGCTCTGGCACTGTCCTCAGGGAAGTGGCAGGCTCTGCCAAGGGGGTGATGACAAACACCTTGAGAGTGATAACATTTTCAGCCACCAGTCACTTCTGCAACAGCTGAAGGCTACCTAGGATCTATTTAAGAAGACAGTGAAAAACAGCACCCTTTTATCCTGGAAGCTCTCCATGCTGCCAGCAATTAGGAATATTAATGAATATCAGGGGGAGGAAACACTGCTGATAAGTGTGAGAGACAACTGCTCACTTTGAAAATTTAAAGAGGTTTACTAAACCTTGACAAAAATACAACAAAGGACTACATAAGGAAAAAGCTGCAGTGCTGGGAACTGCCCCTCATGCACACCACATGGCCAGTTCATCTTCAGGATGGATGCTCAGTCTTTTATACCCCTGGGGGCTGCATCAGCCAGCCCTGGCCCTCCCAAGGTCTGTCACTCAGCTCTTCTGTGCCATTTATCAGTGCAAACTGCTTTCTTGTCCCTGGATTGGAGCTCAGGTGTTGCCATGCCCACCCCCTGAGCACCCCCAAGCTTTTCCATTCCCAGCTGCCCCATGCCAGGGACACCTGTGCAGCTTCTTTGTACCTGTCCTGGACAGCCCAGGCTGTCTGATGGCAACAGTACAGGGGGGAAAGGGAACCATGGGGAGAACAGAGGACATCTAAACCACAATAACATAACCATACATCACTAAAGCTTTTATTAACATTCACACAATAGTTAACTTTTAATTGTGAGGGCCAATCATCTCATTATCCATCTATAAGGGTGTGGGTAACTTTTCCTTTGAGTTTTGTCCTTGGCAGTTTCTGAATTCCCATTTTGGTTTGACAAAATGCCTTTCCCTCCCAGATCATTGGTGTGGACCCTGATGGCTCCATCGTTGCCCTGCCCAGCGAGATGAACAAAACCAACACCACAACCATCGAGGTGGAGGGCATTGGGCACGACTTCATCCCCACTGTCCTCGACAGATCTGTGAGTAACCCTGAGAGGAGGGGCCTCTGCCTGCTCTCTGCCTTGGCATCCAGCTGTCAGGACTACTCAGTGCAAATCTCCAACCACCCAGTGCAAAACAACAACTAAATCAATTATTTAGTGCACTACAACATCCAGCCTGCTCCCAAGGCCAGAGGTGTGGTGGTCCTGAGGTATCTTCCCAGTGCAGAACAAGCTGTTGTGGGGAGACTGAGTAACTCTGATTACAACTTGCTTTCTGAGTAACTCTGATTTACAACTGAGTAACTGATTTACTGATTTACTCTGAGTAACTCTGAGTTACAACTGGCTTTTGGTTTTTTAATTTAAGATTTCCTCAAATTTAAAATTTCCCTGCTAACGCACCAAAGAGTGTGGTAGGTTTCGGTGCTGGTCAATCACTAATGCATTCACTTCCTGCTGTGAGATAGGCAAAGCAGGCTCAAAACTTTAAAAGGGTATAAAAAAAATTATTAAAAGTGATTTAAAGAAAAAAAAAAGGTAGTAAGAATCAAAACAAACCCTTCAGAACAATTCTTTTCCCCCACAACCTTTTCTTTCTCACTGATAAAGTGTACAGAAATAAACCCTAAAATTTCCAGTCAGTTTAGTGTCTTTAAAATAGTCTTTCTTCAGTTCACTTAGGGAGAGAAGTCCCTCTTGTTAAGGTTATGGAGACGTTTCCACTTTTCCAAGAGATAAAAAACATGTGTTATTCACAAAGGTGTATCCAGCTTCTCAGTGCCTCGACAAACTGTCAGTTACACAAAAACCTTTTGCCTCATTTCCCTAAATTCCTCCCATGTCAAACAATGACACTGAGCCACAAGGAGAGGGCAGATAGAGGTGAAAAGCAGGCATTTAACACAGTGTGAGTGTCCTCAGCCTCACCATCGTTCAGATGTGCCCCTTTGGCCCTTTGGTCACACAGATGGCTGTGCTGAGGCTGCTCCTCATCACCTGCTCTTTCCTGAGCCTTCTGTGCCTCAGGCACCACACACAGAGAGCAGAAATCCTGCACCGTGCACAGGCTGCACAACAATATCCAAGCAAGACAGCAGACCATGAACCTTTCATCTCTTGTTGTCAAGTTCCCTCTCAGTGTATCAGCTGCCACAGAGCTTTAAATCCCTAACACAGGCTGCCTATATTGCCCTGGCTTCATTCTAGAAAGGTCCCTCACAGCCTCAGACCTGTGATTCTTTCTGCTTTCAGGTGTTGACTACATCCCTGTTGTCAGCACCTGGCTGTAGAGCTGTCACCTTAATAATCCACACTGATTCTTGTAGCTGGATCTCATTTTGGCAAATTCTGAATCATTCATGTACCCTGGGACATCATAAATACCCTTCCACATCCTAACTCTGGACCTGTCAGGCATGCCTAACTCTCCAAGGAAAGGGTGCTGGAAAGGTGTGGGTGTCTGCAAGGAGGAACTCCAGACCATGGATCTTCTGACAAATGCTTTCAGCAAGTGTGGAAGGCAGCTCAGAGCTGCCAGATGTTGTGGGCATCAGCACCATGGTGTGCCTCACAGGGTCAGGGCAGCCTGAAGTGACGTTTCCAAGACTCATCCTCCTTGCTTTCCTTCCAGGTGGTGGATCAGTGGTACAAAAGCAATGACAGAGACTCGTTCCTCATGTCCCGCAGGCTGATCAGAGAGGAGGGCTTGTTGTGTGGTAAGCACAGTGCAGCCACAGCACTCTGTCCCCTGAACAAACCCTCTGAACCTCATCCTTTTGGGACCAAAACTCTCCAGAGGAGGTGCCCTCTGCATTCTTGTGTCTGCTAGGTCAGCAGGGCTGGAAGGCTGAGCCTGGGGCTGTGCAGAGGTCACTGCAGGCTCCAGAGGTGTTTCCCTCAGTCTGGTCTGGGCTCTGACTCACCAGCCACAGTAATTATAGAAGGAATAATTCTCTCCTTACTGGAGCACTTTTGCAGTGGAACTGGATCTTCAGGCAGTGTAGAGTTACAGAGGCTGAGGGGAGGATTAGTGGGGCTCAGGGCAGGACAGGTGGGCTCTGCCAGCAGCTCTGTGAGGCCGTGCTCGGTGTCACTGCCACACCAGAGGTGCCAGCTTTGGACCAGCAAGGTCTGGAAGCAAAGAAAGTGTGAGATGTTCTTACTGAGTACTGCTCCCTGTGCCAACAAGCTGAAAGTGATCTCACTGGCTTCCCAAAATGAACAGGTGCCCTCAGACAGACCCTGCCTGTACCCTGAGAGCCTCCACAGAGCATCAGCCTTGTTTTCAGCCTTCCCTGACGCCAGGCAAACAGACACAGGTTTGCACCCAGGAGCAGACACCACGTAGGCTTGTAGTTACAGCTGATAAAAGCCCTGAGCACTCATATCCAGGGAGTTTTGGAAAAGATCAGGCTATATATATGTAATGAAACACTTAAATGTTGATTTAACCTAGCAGGCAGGGAGTCACTGTGTTTCAACAGAAACCACTTGTTTGAACTCAACCATAATTTGTGAACAGCTTCGTGTTCCCCGAGCTGCATTTTTCAGGGCCGTTCCTCGTTTTTTTGAAAAATGTGACCCAGGGATAATTAACCTGCTGTAAAATACGTGCTGCCTTGAATGCAGGCTGTAATTGGCACACAGATAGTGGAATGTGTCTGACTTCCAGTGCTCAGACTGGTGCAGGAGGAATTGCCTCTGTAAAGCAGGGACCTGCTTTCCCTACGTGCAGCAAACCACATGCGTGCACACAGACACGGGCAGCATTCAGGCCTTCCCATCATGTTGGCCTGGTATTCCAAGCATGAATGAAATGTTTATGGGGCTTTTTTTCAGTCTTTACAGTGCCTTTAAAGCCAGTCTTTGGCTGCCAAGTATGTCAGCCAGAAGCTCCAGAACTGGCGTGGTTTCTGCTCATGGTTAGGGAGAGTGTGGTGTGGGCAGCGTGTTCTGAATGTCCCTGCATGGCACCTCTCAGACCTTGGTCTGCCCACAAGAAATCGTTCATGAAGTCCATGAGGTGACTTTCAGGCAGCCTCCAAAGCCCAAGAGCCACCATATGAACACATCCCACCAGTCCCTCCCTCTGCCTGGCCCTAAACCCTACAATGCTTTGGGGTTGATTGTTCTCCCATCCCAGCGTCCCAAGCCAGGTGCCACCTCTGCACCTTATCTGGGGCTGCCTGTGCTTCCCACTGCAGGACAGTGGCCCTGGGCAGCCCTGACCCCTGTCTCGCTGTCCTTGGTGTCCCTGCAGGTGGCAGCTCGGGCAGTGCCATGTCTGTGGCTGTGAGAGCTGCCAGGGACCTGCAGGAGGGCCAGCGCTGCGTTGTCATCCTGCCCGACTCCGTCCGGAACTACATGTGAGTGTCCTGCCCCTGCCCTGCTCCCAGCACCAGGGTGGGAGCTCCCAGGGCCTCCTGTGGCAGCAGCTGGGGCTCAGCAGAACCACCCCAATCAATCAAATGGCAAGGCACATGGAGTGAGCCCAGAGCTGGGAGTCTCCCTCGGGCAGGGGAAAAGCAAAATAAACAGCAGGGAGGAACAGCGCATCAGCGTGGCAGCCACCAGGGGATGGGTGTTGGGACACTTGGGGTTTATTTCCTCTCCTCTCTGACTCACTGCACGGAGCAGGACTCAGCCAAGCTGCACTTTCTGAGCCTGCATGCCTGAAGTGAGGAAGGCAAATAGCTGGCGTGCTTCGAAGAGTTACTGAGCACCCCATGCTCCTGTTGACCTTAAAAGGGGCTGAGAGCAGCCAGCTGCAAAAATCATGAGAGCCCCAGGGGCAGTGCTGTGGTCTGCTGCACAAAACTTCTTCTGGAAGCCTCACAGACTCGCTCTTTGTTGGTGATTTCTAGGTCCAAATTTGTGAATGATCAGTGGATGATAAAAAATGGGTTCCTAAATGACGCCCAGGAGCACAAGCCTTGGTAAGACAACTTCTGCTGGGATAAACTGTGCTGAGGGAATCAGCTTTCTGAGTCTGGAAATTGTTATCTTCAAAGGAAAATGTTCCTTTTTAGTGTTTAGGAAAAACACAGTAAAGTCCAGACCCCTCTGGGGAGGCTGTAATGCCAGCTCCTCTCTTTTGAGTGGTTATCTCTCAGCTCTCCAATCAAGGTCTATAAAGGAGCCATTTCTGTCCCAAAGTAGCTGATCCACTCCCACATGGCAGCCCAGGCCACCTAAACCCTCTGGAAACCTCTCTCTGCTCCACATCTGACATTCAAAGGACCACCAGGCTGCTGGGGAGGTGGGTCCCTGTTTTAGCTAGCCCCCTTTCAAACAGCTCTGCAGCTCTTTTCAGGCATAAACCAGAAAATTTTCACTTTCCAGAGCTGCTGGCCAGAAAAGCTGGCCAACTCTGCTGTCCCTTGGACACCATGGGGAAAGAGACCCCTCAGGGACAGGAAACTGCTGATGCCAGTTGATGTGTGGCTGGGCAGATACCAATTGTTTAGAAAAGCTCATGGTCTCACTCTTAAAAGACAGCAGGTATTACTGATGTCACCTTCTCCTTTACCAAAAATTCTTGTAAAATATTTCCTAAAAACGTAACCCATTTCCAAGGCCTCTTGTGTCTGGTTAGAGTTGCTCTTGGCCTTTCCAGGCTCCAGCATTGCCTTTTCTGCAAGGACTCAGGGCTGAGATGGTTGGGAGCTGCTTGTGCTGCCCCACAAACCAGCTCAGCTTGTCCCTCATAAGTCACACGAGCATCTCTGCGAGGCTCTCTCCTGCAGGAGCTGCAAATGCTGCCTTGTGAGGACCAAGGATACAGAACAAAGGAGTGAAACTGGTAGGTTCACCCATTTCTGAGCTTGAAGTGAAGCCCTCAATAGCTTCCTTGGATTCAGGACAGCTCAGCACCTTGCTGGTCTCCTCCCTGCCTCTGGAGCTGCATGAACACTGGGCACAGGGAAAGCTTGGCTTCAACAAGACCTGGCCGTGGTGTCATTTCTGCTTTGGCTCTAGGAGCAGGGCTGGCTTTTCAGGCAGACAGACTGTCCCTCATCTCCTCTGGCCTTGTCCCCCTGCTGAAGGCCACAGCTGTGCAGCAGTCACAGCTCAGCACTGCCATTTGTCTCCCAACAGGTGGTGGAATATCAAGGTGCAGAAACTGAATCTCTCGGCCCCTCTCATCCTCCTCCCAGAAGTCAGCTGTCAAAAGGCAATTGAGATCCTCCAGGAGAAGGGATATGACCAAGCTTCTGTTGTTGCTGAGTCAGGGTAACTATTTCTGCTCACTGCAGATGGGCATTTGTGCAGAAAAATCAGTCATGATGAAGCTCAACTCCCATTTACTCATTCAGAGCTGGGGCTCTTGTGTTGGACTCTGATGCACAATTTTAAAAAGATCATCTGCCTCCTTGGGAAGATTCATCAATAAAACTCCTGTAAAAGACCCAGTTAAAGCCCAGTCCAGTGCCCACCAAAGCAGAAGATGCTGGGTCAGTGCACAGGCAGGGGGAGCCCAGGGGAGTGAGAGCTGGGGGGAAACCCACACAAATAAGCAGCTGGAGAGCCCATGGGTTTTCCTTCTCCCAGCTGCTAAATCCTGGACTGCAGCAGCAGATTTTAACTGCTGTGAAACCAACAGCTTGGTAAGGACAAAGACTTCCTTGTTCTGCCCAAGTGAGGAGAAACCTGGTGCCTCCCCCTGACTGCAGCAACAATTCAGTCCCGGATTCAACCAGAGCAGTTCAGCCCCTGCATAAAATGTGTGTTCCACCTCAGGTCTGACCTTCTGGAAAACTCCCTGTTCCCTTACAGGCTTATTTTGGGGATGGTGACCCTCAGCAACACCCTGAGCTCCGTGCAGGATGGAAACGTGGAGTTCTCAGACCCTGTCACCAAGGTCACCTATGACCAGTTCTCCAAGGTACCACTGAGGCTGGGGATGGTGTCAGCCTGGCTGGGGACAGGGACAGAGGGAGAGGGGCACCAGCACACCCTGGGGTGTGAGAGGAGCAGGGAGAAGAGAAGGCAGAGAGGAGTGGGGAGGGCCACGGTGACATCTTGGAGATGAGAGTAAGGACAAGCACCTGTAAAAGCCCTGCAGAGCTTTTCCCACCAGGAGCCAAGCACTGACAGGGGATTTCATCCAGCTGGGGAATCAGCACCCTCCAAAATCAGAGCTCAGCCACTGCCAGGTGAAGTAAAAGGTTAAATGTTGAATTTTGTCCTGTTTAGGTCAGCCTGGAGGACAGCCTTGGGAAGCTTTCCTGCCTCCTGGAGAATGACCACTTTGCCATCATTGTACACGAGCAGATGCAGGGTAGGTACCTGCAGGAGCTCCCCACGGGCCTGGCACAAGTGTTTGAGAGGGGAGAGGGAAATTCTCAAGCTGATTGTGGCAGGTGTCAGTGCAGCTGCTTCACCTGTGCAGCCCCCAGAGGTTTCTGCTCTGCACAGCCCTGGAACTGCCCACTCCTCACCCAGGACTCCTCCTGACACCACAGGGATGAGGGGAGAGGGGGCAAAGCAAGCAAGGGGGAAACTGGGGATCTCTGTAGAGTTCTGTAGCCCAGGGGCAAGGTCAGAAGGAGCATTTGGCCACATCAGGTAAAGCCTGGGTGGAATTCAGGCACCTGAGGTGAGAAAGCTGAGAAAAACTGGGGTGGGCCATGAGCAAGCCCTGTGGGTCATCAGGGGCACTGGGTGCAGCTGTGTGTGAGCCTGCCCTGGAGGGATGCTGTGCCAGCCTGGCAGCACCATTAAAGCAGGTTTTATTGGTTTTATTCTCAATGCCCTGCACAGCCACCTTCCCCCTGGTGTGCAAGGCAACCCAGCAGAGTCACCTGCAGCAGCATCAGGATTGCTGACACATCCGTGGCAGCAGGGATCACCCCTCGTGCCTCCTCTGAGCCAAAAAAGGTGTGGTGGGAGGTGCTGCTCAGCACACCTGGCCTGGCACACCTTTCCAGGGCAATTACACCAAAAGGAGCACAGATTTGACCTTGGCTGGGAAATGTGAGCAACACAAAAAGCAGTCAGAAGAGCCAAGTTTAGCTCTTGTGAATCAGGGCTGAAGGGTGTAATTATGCTGATTTGGTGGGATTGCACACTGAGCATGCAGAGCATCCCTCAGGTGAGCAGTGGGTGGCTCCAGCAAGGGATGCCTGCTCAACTTGGGGCCTCCAAAACCCAAACATCCCAAAGCTTCCCTCTCCAGGTCCTGTTCCCCCAGAGCCCCATCAGCTCTGAAGCTTTGCAAGCCCATCCATGTTCCCACAACAGGTTGCAAACAAAAATCTGTCACTCAAAACTGCCTTTGATGCACGTTTCCAAGTCAGTCACCAAAACTAATTCCAGGCAGAGTTTCCTTTCTCAGCTGTGTTGTCATAAAATAAGGAATATCTCTTTTGTATCACGTTTTGATATAAATTAAATGGTATCAGCAAATTAAATGGCACCCATCAAAAAATATCAGCCAGGTGTCTGCAGCAGCTCTTGCTCTGATTTTCAAACAACACCCACTTGCTTTTCCAGAGCTGCTGTTTAATGCTGTCACAGTTACTCCCTTATTTATTACTTTCTTCCCACACCTTTGGAGCTTGCATTTTATCTTGTGTTTGGGCTCTGGTGGCCAGTTTTATTTTTATTTAAGAAAACATTTATCAGACAGTTAAAACAATTATTGAAGTGCTGTTTCATTAATGGTGGTGTAGGATGTTATGAGAACAGAGCAGAAAAGTGCCTGACTGCTGCTTTTAGAGAGTCTCATTAGTTTGCTCTGAAAAGTTCTGTGGTGACAGGAGCCGGGCTGGAACAGAGGTTGGCTAAAAACAACTGGGAAATTAAGTTTCCTGCTCTGGGAAAGGTGGGTTATTTGCAGCAAAAACCTCTCTGGAGTGATCACAGTGACCTGACTGAGGCTCCATCATCATTTCTGTGGAGGTAGAGCTCAGGCAGATGCTGTCCCTGTTAGGGTTTTCTTTTAATAAAAGAACAGCAGCCTCTGCATAGCTGGAAGGTGGTGAGGGTGGGGGTGGTGGTGGTGTTCTTTTTTATTTATTTTTTTTTTTGCCACTAAGCTGGAATTTTCTGTGCTTCCAGTCAGTGGGAACGGCAGCTCCTCCACGAAGCAGACGGTGCTTGGCGTGGTCACATCCATGGATCTCCTCACCTTTGTCAGCAGCAAGGACAAGAAGTAGCAGAGCAGCTCGGCTGCCTCCCCCCCTCCAGCAGCTCCAGGGGTCCCCCTGAGCCCAAACCCCCTGGGCAAGGGAGCCTCTGGCCCAGTGCAGCCAAAAATTTCTCAAAATGCCCAGGAGAAAATTGTGATGTGTTACATTTGTCAGCCAAACGCCACTCAGAGTATCACTAAAGAGGAGATAACTGAAGAAATTGGGTTTAACAGCCATGGAGCTGCCCAGGGCTGGGCAGGGAATGTGGGAAGGTCAGCATGGGAAGGGGATGGTTGCTCCTGCCCAGGGTTCAGCAGGAGGAGCTCTGGTGAGTTTGGCAGCTGCAGGTTCCTGTGCAGTGCCCCTGGTGCAGCTGCTGAGGGCTCTCCTCGGGGCCAGAGCCCATTTCTGCCACAGAGCAGCAGGGCTGGGGGCAATCAGGGCACTGCTGCACCCCCTGCCCCTCTCTGCCCCCCAGGCAGGGTGCAGGCACCCCCAGGGGCCATTCCCCCCCAGCCCTGGGGGTGTTTGCCTCCAAGAAGGTAGCAGGAGAGTCTGGAGTCTCAGCTTCTGTTTGCCAGGCTCGGGAATAAATGTGTGAGATGGTATTTCTTGTCCTGCCTCAGATGTTTATTAGTTCTTATCTCTGTTACTGTCTCACAAAATATGGGTTCTGCAGCACTTTAACAAACTAAAACTGGAGCCCCATCTCTCTCTCTCTACAAGGACTTTTAAGGATAAAATGTCCAATTAAGAAATGACACCTCAATTATTTTCACGTTTAACCCGATAACCAACCACCCATGCCCACAATGGGGATTTTTTAATCCAATGATACAAAACCACCCAACCCCATGGAGAAGAAGGTGAAGAAGGAGCAGAAGAAGGTGAAGAAGAAGGAGCAGCCTCCACCCTAAAACCTCCATCTTGCTTTATATACATTGCTATATTCTAAACCCTTAAACTGAGTTTTCCACCCTGTGATATCACACACTTCTACTCATACTCCACACCCACAATCCCAGTTCTGTCGTTTCCATTTTGGTAGTTTTCTCCACAGCCTCAGGTCAATGCTGTGTTCTCTTGGGGGTCAGTGCCTGGCAGCACAGAAAGTCTGAAATTCTCAGCATCCAGGGTTCCAACAGGGAGGGAGGGGCACAGAGCACAGGAGGTGAAAGGTGGGAGGGAAAAGCCAAGGGCTGTGATGAGCAGAGAGGATGAGGTGCTGGGCTGGTGGTGATGGTGATGGGGCTTTGGGATGCACCTTCCTCAGCTCTGGGGGGTTTGGTGGCACTGGGAGCCTCCTGCATGGTGAGGGGGCAGTGGAGGGAGCCCAAACAAGAGGCAGAGACTCAGTCACAGAACAGTGAGAGGGGCCATGGCTTCATCCCTGAATATGCATCCTCAGAGCTCCTTATCAAAGGCTGGAGGGGAGGGCAAGGCTTGGTCTTAATTCTGCTGTCAGGCCATTGTGGGGACTGATAATGAAGGTCAGCAGAGCCATTTGCCATGGCTACCAAAAAACAAAAATGAAAGCAAATGCCAAAAGTGAGCTGTGGGAGCAAACTGAGGTGCCATTGAAACCCAGTTTGGGGGAGCTGCTCTCAAAAGACCCAGAGAGGTTCACAATCTTTCTGTGACTTTCTGGAGCTGCTCCAAGATGGCAACAACCAATTTCAATTTCAGCTAAGTGGCTACTCCATATTCTCAATCTAATCTAGTTTGTAGGAGACTTTTATTAAGTTATAGAATGCTGAAGTATTTACATTTAGGTAAAGTGTCTCTGCTGTCCATTGTTTCCTGAGTGACACGAGCGATTATCAGATTTTCTGAGAGTTTTTGCTTGTGCAATAACCATATTTGTCCAGAAAAACAAACTGACTAGTTCAACCCTCATTGTTTCATATTTATTTTAGCAATTCTGTGGCAAAGTGAAGCCTGTTAGTCCATGCACGTATCCCAAACTCACAGGAGTAAGTCTGAAAGTGCCCCATAACTCCATGAAGCCCAGAACTGAGTCTGAACCTGGACCAGCCTGGCTGTTATGGATTAACCCAGAGCCCAGGGCTTCCAGCAGCTGCAGGGCTGCAGGGCAGTGAGCTGCAGACAGGCTCCAGGACAGGCAGCTGCACTCCAGCAAAGGTGAAGTAACCACTGAGTATCCACCTCGAATATTTACAACTCCTTCTCTATGTTAACTATGAGTGTGGGAGCTAATAAAGGTGGGTGTGAGCTCCAGATACCCCAGGGCTGCTCCACCTGGGCTCACCAAGGCACTCCTGGGCTCCCTTCCCGTGTCCCTGGGGCTGCTCTTTGCAGGCACATCCAACAGTGGCTGCCCGGGGATGCTGCTGCTGTGTCTCCTGCTGTTTGCCAGCTGTGACCCTGAGGATGTCCCACAGGGCTGTGCCACCCTGCCCACCGTGTCTCTGGCATGGAAAAGGCCTCAGGAGGCAAGGGAGGAGTTTTCATGTGAGTTGTGTGCAGAAATCCCTGCAGGACCATGCAGAACCATCCCACCGTGCCCATACAGCACCAGTGGCGAGAGCAGTGTGTCCAGGTGTCCCTCCCACCACCCTTTGTCCCTTCTCCACACATCCCTGGGCCTGTCCTCTGGCAGGATGACCCCCTCTGGATAAACAGGCCTTGGAGCTCCTTTTCCTTCCCCTAGCATTGAGTCCCTGTCAGTATTTTATGTCTCCAAGCTGCCCAGCTTGGCACAGCTCGGTGCTCTGGAGCTCTGTGGGGCTTCTGGACCAGAGGGATGGGGAATTCCAGGCTTCAGGAGCCATGAGAGGGGAGCAGGAGGTGGATGAAGGCCAGGCAGCATCCCAGCCCACTGTCCTGAGTGCAGAGTCCAGCTCCAGAGCTCCCTCAGCCTGCAGGTCCACCCCTGCCCTTCTCCCAGCACCTCCTGCTCTGTCACCTCGATTTTTTTAAGATTTTCTAAGATTTTCTAAGCCTTCTGATGTTTACATTCTTGTAACAAACTTTCTCACACACTTTATGTAAGTAACTCATTGTTTTGCATTCTTTTATGGAAGAAGAGAAATTTAATGGGCTGTTGGTTTGTCCAGGGTCATTGGAGAGGTGGCACTGTCACCCTCCAGTCCACTGTCACTTTGGAAATCTATAAATGTTAGAGTCAGAAAACATACTCCCCTTTTTTCATCTTGTGTAAGAGCTGAAATGAGGGATGCAGGACTCCAGGGGCTCTCCAAAATGCAGTTTATTCCATCCAAGAGGTTGCAGCAGCCCAGGGTGGTGGGTGACAGAGCCTGTGCCCACAGCTGTCAGCTCCAGCTGCAGGCAGGCCTGGAGACCCTTTGGTTTAGGTTACAGTGCATTATAGACTGTTCTTTGCTGAGCATCTTCATGCAGTACAACCAATCTATACCTGAACTTTTATCTACAGCCTGTCATAACTACTGTAATTACCATAGTCATGTTACTGTTCTCCAATCACTAAAAGTCAGTACATTGCAGTTTAACCTAGAAGTTGTTTTTCAGTTTTCTTGCAGTGGAAAATTCTGAGACCTTTTTTCTACTTGCAACTTTGCTGACTTGTTTGCCTGTGCTGTCTTTCTGCTTGGTAAAAACATCTTCTTGTTTGGGGTGGGTTTATCCTTTGCTCTAAGCCATAAAAACCCCTTCTAACTAACACACCCTTTGCCTCCTTGGTTATCCAGTCAGATTGGCCCAGCAATTCTTTTCTTCTATATCAAAACTTGCTTCCATCTCTATTCCTTCATCAGATTGTACATCTAAAAATCTTTCTGCTAAGCACACATATCTGTGAGACTTTCTTGTCAAACTTTCATCCTTCCCAACTGTGACAGTGTTCACAGGGGTCTCAGGATGAGGGAAGAGACGAGGATCTGACTCCATGTTTCAGAAAGCTGATTTATTATTTTATGATATATATTATATTAAAACTATACTAAAAGAATAGAAGAAAGGATTTCATCAGAAGGCTGGCTAAGAATAGAATAGCAAAGAATGATAACAAAGGTTTGTGGCTTGGACAGACAGTCTGAGCCAGCTGGGCTGTGATTGGCCATTAATTAGAAACAACCACATGAGACCAATCCCAGATACACCTGTTGCATTCCACAGCAGCAGATAACCATTGGTTACATTTTGTTCCTGAGGCCTCCCAGCTTCTCAGGAGAAAAAATTCTAAGGAAAGGATTTTTCAGAAAAGATGCCTGTGACACCCAACAACCTTGAGAAGAGCAGCGTGTGCCTGTCGCGTTGTTTCGTGTCCTGTAGTGACACTGCTCAAAGGGTGAGCCCTGTGTGCCCCCAGAACCTTCACTGCTCTCCAGCCCCATCTGCCCCAAGATGCCTCTGCTCTGCACCCCTCTGTTCTGTAGGGCTGGGGACACATTTCCAGGGAGATCATGAGCACATCAGGGCAAGACATTTCCACAGCAGGGACCAAATGGCCCAGGGGGAAGAAGCTCAGGCTGCCTGTGCAGGTCAGGGCACATGAAATTTGTGCATCCCTTCCCTGCTGAGATCCACAGCCTTGGCTCCCTGCAGCTCAATCCAGAGGAAAACAAACCCCAAGGGCTTTAAAGGCTGGAGAGCTGCCCTGTCCTGGGAAGCTGCGTGCCCTGAGAAGGTCCATGCTCCCCCCTGGCTCCTGCATTTTGGGGTGCATCACCCCAGAGCTGGCTGCATTTCAGGCACAAGGAGGGAATTTCTGCCTTCCCACCGCTTTTAACTCCTTTTTTCCTCCCTGTGGCCTCCAGCGTCCCTGTCCCCAGCAGCCTGTGCAGCACAGGGGGGCTGATGGTGCTTCACAAACCCCGGGGAGGTTGGCCCGGAGGGGCGTACGGAGCCAGGACAGAGCTGGGGTTGGCCTGAGCTCGGACAGAGCCAACACCGGCAGCAGGATAAGCATCTCGCTGGGCAGGGCCAGCACCTCGGAGGCTTCCCCGCCTCCCTTTTGGCCCCGCCAGGGCCCCACCGTGCAGACACATAAATAGAGGTGCGGGCAGCAGCGGGGCTGCATCCCAAGG